TTTGAAACAATAGTGGCAGAAAACTTTCCTAACTTGGTGAAGGAAACAGACATACAAGTCCAGGAAGCACAGAGAGTCCCAAACAAGATGAACCCCAGGAGGCCCACACCAAGACACATCATCATCAACATGCAAAAGGTTCAAGGCAAAGAGAGAATCTTAAAAGCAGCAAGAGAAAGGCAGCTAGTTACCTACAAGGGAGTTCCCATAAGGCTATCAGCTGATTTCTCAAAAGAAACTTTGCAGGCCAGAAGGGAGTGGCAAGAAATATTCAGAGTGATGGAAAGCAAGAACCTACAACCAAGATTACTCTATCCTGCAAAGCTGTCATTTAGAATCGATGGCCATATAAAGACTTTCCCAGACAAGAAAAAGTTAAAGGAGTTCATCACCACCAAACCGTTATTATATGAAATGATGAAGGGTCTTTTTGAAGAAAAAGATAAAATATATGAACAAACAAAATGGCAATGAATACATATCTATCAACAATGGAATCTACAAACAAAATGAACAGATAGAACAGAAACATTCTCATAGATACAGAGAACATTTTGTTGGTTGCCAGATGGGACGGGGTTTGGGGGAATGGGTGAAAAAGGTGAAGGGATTAAGAAGTACAAATTGGTTGCTAAACTGACAAACCTCAAAGGGAAAGGGGCTGGGGGGTGGGAAGAAATAAACCAAAAACTTATATGCATAACCAATGGACATAGATAACAGTGTGTGAAAAGGCGGGAGGGAGGCGGGAGTGGGGAGGAGGGAGTCAGTGGGGGAAAAAAAATGTGGAACATCTGTAATACATTCTACATTCAACAATAAAGATTTAAAAAAATAAATAAAAAGAAAAAAAAGGTATTTAAGGATTTAGATTACAACTTGGCCCATGTGGCTCTGTGAATTGAGCGTTGTCCTATGGACCGAGAGGTCCCAGTCCAATTCCCAGGCAGGGCACATACCCGGTTTGCAGGCTGGATCCCCAGTAGTGGGTGTTCAGGAGGCAGCCAATTAATGTTTCTCTGTCACATTGATGTTTCTATCTCTCTGTCCCTTCCTCTTTCTCTGAAAAAATCAATAAAAACATATTTAAAAAAAGGTTTAGATTACAAGAAATAGATATTTATTTCTTTATTTAATATACACGGTTGGGTAAAAGTAGGTATATAGTTGTGAATTCATGAGTTTATTCTTGTATTATTTATTAATTATTATTTATTTGTATTACAAATTCACATCTACTTTTGACCACCTGTGTCAAAACTACCTTCTGTGTGCCAGGCTCCATTTCAGTGCTGAGGTACAGTAGTGAACAGATAAGGGAATATTTACTATCCTCATGGAGCTTTCATGCTAGTGAAGGAGACTGATGATAACAGAACAGAGAAGTGTAACAAATTGCATATTTTATGGTAATAAATGCTGCAAAGAAAAACGTAAATAATTTAACCCTGGCCAGGTAGCTCAGTTGGTTGGAGCAATGTCCTGATGTGCCAAGGTTGCGGTTTCGATTTCAGATCAGGGCACATGCAGGAGTCAACCAATGGATATATGGGTGGGTGGGACAACAGGTTGATGTTTTTCTCTCTCCCTGTCTCTCTCTCCCTTTCTCTCTTCCTGAAATCAATTAATAAAAAAAGTAATTAAAGTTAAATAAGAGTTATGAGGTATCTAATAGAATTAAAAGCAGAATAATCAAAAGTAATCTTTAATAAAGAGGACTGAGGGGGTGGGAGACTTACTTTTCATTGTTTGAGTTTTTATTTCTACATGCATGTATTATTCATTTAATAGTAATATTTAATGTCACAGGTTAAATGTATTAGTAACAGATAGTGTCAGAATGGACACCAAATATATTTGGCTCCAGACTTTTTGGAGAATAGTATTTAAATGAAAAATCATAGCAACAAGACCACACTAATATAACACTTCATATCCTCTAGGATGGCTATAATAAAAAAGATGGATATTAACAAGTGTTGATGAGGATATGGAGAAATTAGAAGAAACCCTAATGAGAATGTAAAATGTTACAGATACTTTGGAAAACAGTTTGACATTTCCTTAAAAAGTTAAATGGAGTATTTATATTGCCCAAACAATTGCACTCTTAGTTATATGTATAGCCAAGAGAATTGCAAACATATATCCACACAAAAACTTGTACATGAATGCTTTTAGTAGCACTAATCAGAATACCAACAACCCAAATGTCCTTTAGCTGATGAATAGGTGAACAAAATGTAGACTATCCATACAACAAAATACTATTCAGCCATAAAATGGAGTGAACTACTGATACATGTTATAAGGTGAGTGAACCTTGAAAACTATGTTAAATGAGAGAAATCAGACACAAAAGGCCTTATATTGTATGGTTGATTCTATTTATAGGATACGTTCAGAGCACATAAATCTGTGGAGACAGAAGTATATACATTTCCAAGGCGTGGGAAGTGGGGAGTGACTGCTTATGGGTAAGGAGGGCCTCTTTTTGCCATGGTGAAAGTGTTCTCCAGTTAGATAGTGTGGTTGCACAATATTGTAAATATACTAAAAATAGCCAGATTGTATGGTTTAAAATGATGAATTTTATTGTATATGAATTATATCAGTTAAAAACACTGGAACAAAAATGAAAAAGCATACAAGGTATATTGATTCTCAGTGGGGCACGGAGGGAGAAAAGAGAGGGTATTAAAATATAGGGCTTTTATCAAATGAAAAATGGCCCTTTGGCCTCTGGAGTTTCTAATATGTCCCCTACCCTCAATTTGAGAATATCTATCAAAATAACTGCTATCGTTGATGAAGATAATTTCATATCCCTTAAATAAGTTGGCTTGGGAAAATAAAATTATAAATAATAGATTGGAAAGATGCAAGGTTGTTTAGGCAAGGAGGTTATTTAGGAGATTACGTTGTGATAGTACTGGCCAGACAGGATGAGGTTATAGGAAGCTAAAGGAAATTTATTAGAAAGATAACAATTGGTGATACACAGTGATTGATTAGTTAATGGGAGTTGAATAGAGGAGTGAAAAAGGAGGAGTCAAAATGAATTCTATCAAACTAGGGAACATAGGAGGAGAGGGGCATGTTTTAGGGAAAATGTATGTATAGGTAGTACTGTTGAATTGCCTATGGGAAATCTTGGCAGATATGTACAGTGAGTAGTTTTTCATGTAAGTCTGCAGCTCAAGGGAGAGGCCAGAGTTGGGAATATTGATTAAGAAAACCTAAACTGAAATATGTACCTACCTAAAATAGGTAATAGTTGAAACCAGTTGAAACAGTGGTTGTGGATGAGATTGCCCAGGGAAAGTAAAATAACAGGAGATGACAACATTTGAAGACAGAACTCCAATGTATATACCAGCGTTTCAAAGGTAGGTAGAGGAAGAGGAGACAGTAAAATGTATGAAAAAACGAATGGGCTTGGAGAGATAGTAGGGAAACCAGAAGAGTAGTATTAGAGAGACTCAGATAAGAGTTTCAAGATGGAAGTGGTCAGCAGTGTCAGGTGTAGTAGAAGTAAAGAGAATCCATTGAATTTGGCTGTAAGGAAACCATTCTGGCTTTATTCTAGAAGTGGTAGTGGAAGTTTAGTATCCAGAGCCTTATCTTGAGGCACTATACCCTTTCTGTTGTATATCTTTATACCACCAATCCCTAACATAGTTTTATTTTGTCCTGATTATAAAAATAGTGTGTGCGAAAAATATTTACTATTTGGAGAGAAAGTGAGGTCACCAGAAACCATACGACCCAGAGTTGTATACCCTTCCATAATCAAAAAAGGAAAAAAACCCCCAAAAAACCCAAAAACCCACCTCAGGTGAAATCTGTTTATAACTTTTTTCTTTTTGGTTTGACAATAGATCATAAGCATCTTTCTGTATAATTGAGTATAGAGCCACATCGCCATTTACAATTAGAGGGTAGTTTTTTAGGTCTGCTGTGACAAATTACTAAAAATTTGGCAACGTAAAACAACAGAAATTTATTCTGTTTCAGTTCTGGAGGCTAGAAGTCCAGAATCAGTTTAGGTAGGGCCTTGCTCCCTCTAAAGGCTCTAGAGAGCATCCTTCATTGCCTCTTTCTGGCTTCTGGTGGCTCCTGGTTGGTGTTCCTTGGCTTGTGGCTACATCACCCCAATCTCTGCCTCCATCTTAACATGGTCTTTCTTATGAGTATGTCTGTAACTGAATCTCTTTTCTCATACAAAGACTCTAGTCATTGACTTTAGAACTTGTCATAATCCAGTATGATCTCATCTTAACTTGGTTACATCTGCAAAGACCCTGTTTCCCAAATAAGGTCACATAAGTCTGTGGATATGAATTTTTTGGGGAACACTATTCAACCCATTATAGGTAATAACCCATTTTATTTTATTACTTTTATTTTTTATCCTCACTTGACACGTTTGCATTCATCTTCAGATAGAGCGAGAGGAATAGAGGGAAGAACAGAGAGAGAGAAACATCGACGCGAGAGAGACACATCGTCTGGCTGCCACCCACACAACCTCAACTGGGGCTGGGGATAAACTGCAACCGAAGTACATGCCCTTACCAGGAACTGAACCCTGGTCTCTCTGGACCGCCAGCTGACACTTTAACCACTGTGCCAAACCGGCCGGGGCGGTAATAACCTATTTTATAGTGGTACATTAACTTATATAGCCAATGCCTCATTGCTAGACATTTAGACTGTAATTTTTCCCATTATGAACATAATGGGGGCAGGGAATAATGCATCTAGTAGAACCTGTGTGATTCAGTTGGGTACCTTTTGGTACTCTCTTGCCCCATCTTAATTATGAATGGAAATGTGAGATGAATATAATTTTCAAGGGCCTCGGACCCTTAGGAATGGAAGTTTGGGTTGCCGTTGGATAAACCACTAAGATCTGCTGAGATGAAAACTGAGGGTGAGTGCAATTTAGAAGAGTAGAGGAGGTAGAAAATGAGTATTATTTGTGCTTTTCAGACGAACAGCAGCTGTGGTTTGTTCCAGAACCTGCCTTTTCTATGATTCCTGTCAAGAACAGAGGCCTATGAGAATCATGGAGAAACTGCTTCCTGTCCCCATGTGAAGTAATTATGTATTGCAAGGAATGGGCTGTGGTGGTCATGAAAATGTACTGTTCAGATCTCCTGTTGTGGAGACCATAATTGCCTCACATTCTCTACTGTATTGCCTTTGCACTTTTGTCAAAAATGAGTAGTGCAAATAAGTGTGATTCTATAATTACTTTCTAAGTTATAAAAGTAATTCATATTAAAACTTCAATTGGTATAGGAAAGAATAATGTAAAAACCCATCTTTCCCTATGATCTTGTATTCCTCTTTTTATAAATTTAAAAATGTATCTTGTATAACTTGTATTTCTTTTCTTATCAGTACATACAGATTTTCTTATTCTTTTTAATATCTGCACAGTATTCCCATAATTATATAGGTGATTACCAGAATCTTGTTATTTCAAAGATGTCTATAGTTTATTCTTACATAGTTTTTCCACTTGTGTGCAAATATATCAGATAAATGTCTAGAAATGTAATGACTGACATTTATTGAAACCTATTAAGTACAAGATATTTTATACTTACTGATTTGATCTTTTATCCATCCTTTGAAGAAGATATTATGTCTATTTCATAGATGAAAATACAGAAGCTCTGAAAGATTCACTTGTTGAAAGCTATACATTTAAATAGTGGAGCTCAGTCTGCCCAGGGCTTTCGTACTGGTCACTACATGACTAAACCTCAGGAGCACAGTAAGAGTTATTTCATAGAGTGCTTGTTAGGATGAAATGTATTTAAGATCTATTCATTGTATTTTTCTTACTGCAAATTTTTACACTTACTCTGTAGAAAAGATCAGGTCACATTTTAGGTTTCATACTTGAGCATAGTGTCACTAATATGCCTTAATACAAAGGGCAACATTATTAAGGAGGATAATCTAAAAACTACTATGTCCATGTATTCTGAGCACTGTTGTTTCATGATTTGGAACTGTATTTTTAACTTTTGACATTCTACTTCATTTGGGGAAGTCAAAAGATTTTATTGTTTTTAAAATAAACCTAATCCCTTTAAATGTTGATTATTTTGTATGTCAGAAAAAAACTTGCTTATAAGTATATATCAACAAAATGGAATTAATTTTAGTTTTCTTGATTTATTTATTTATATATTTTTATATATTTTTTAGTGATTTTAGAGAGAGAGGAAGGGAGAGAGAGAGAGAGAGAAACAGTGATGAGAGAGGACATCGATTGCTTGCCTCCTGCATGCCCTGGCTGGGGATTTGGCCCACAACTTGGGCATGTGTCCTGACCGGGAATCCAACCAGCGACCTCTTGATGCATGGGTTGATGCTCCACCACTGAGCCGCATCGGCCAGGCTTGACCTTTTTTTTTAAATCCTCACCCGAGGACATTTTTCCATATTTTGTTCAGATAGAGTGGAAAGGAGAGAGAGAGAGAGAGAAACATCAACGTGAAAGGGACACATCAAGTGGCTGCCACCCGCAATACCCAACCAGGGCCAGGGACAAACTGCAATGGAGGTACGTGCCCTTAGCGGGAACTGAACCCGGGTGTCTCTGGACCACAGGCCGATGCTCTAACCACTGAGAACCCATCCAGGGCGGGCTTGACTTTTTCTTTCTGAGAAACACCTGTGCCTTATGTTGATAGGGAAACCCAGTATTTTGAGACTTTCAGGCTGTTTTTGAGTTAAGAATGCTTTGATGAAAAGCGGAAAGCCCCACATAATTTTGTTATGAGAATGTGGAAATATGAGTTGTTGGTAGAACTGTGTTGTTCACAAACACCAAATTTAAGATAAACCAGATTTCTGGTAATGTCCTTGTGAGAGTTAGAGTTTAGGACATTTTTGTAAACATAAATCTGGGCAAACTTGAGATTTAAATACTGTGCTGATATTTTTTAGTATTTTTAGATTCATAGGATAAGAAAACTAATTTTAAGTACTTAATAAGTCTGTGGCTCTATAATATTAACAGATTGTTGAATAGAGGTTTTTCAGCACTGAGAGCAGGTTTGTGCCCATAGGCATATTTTCTGCTTATGATGGCTCTATTGTGTGAATTTTACATTTTTTTTTCTTAGAAGATGAAAGGCATTAGTTTGTTCTTATTGAGCTTATGCTGTCTTCTTGGAGTTAAGATTTAGCTACAGAATTTCCTATTTTTATTCATGTAAGAAGAACAGTTAATTAAAAAAAGAAAATTGAAACCTTGAGCATCCAGTAAGTTTCTTTATGCTTTTCAGGGCATAGTATTAGAGGTCAAAAATACGTAACAGTGTATATAGAGGGAGGTTGTCAATTTATGAAATTTGGTTATGGTTAAAAATGAAGTTTATTAAAATAAAGGAAATGATAAAAAATGTTTCATTATATTTATCTTATATTGCATTTAGTTGAAGTTTTCATAAATGAATGTCAAGATTATTACCACCTTCTGAATGGATAATGAACTATCTTAAATATTTTTACTGCATTTATGTTAATGTAGATTCAGCAAACATATATTGCATGCTTGATTTGTATTGGGCACTGTACGAGGTTTTGCAGATGAGACATTCCTTTGCCTTTAAAGTAATTAACCAGAACATAGTAAGTATGCTACTATTTTAAAAGCTCCTGGTTCCATAAGAGGGGCATCTAAATTAAGACTGAGGGAGTTAAGGGTTTGTGTAGGATTGTGACTATTAAACTTAATTTGGAAGAATGAGTAGTAATAGTTAGCTAGTTTTTGGGGAAGAGGACAGTCATGGAAGCAAGAGAGAGCATGGTATTTCAGTAAATTTTGGGTACTTGATCATAGTTGTCACATGCAAAGGGAAGTGGTTGAGAAGTAACCTGCCTAGAGGGATGTAGGCAGAGCCCAAATCATGAAAAATTTTATATGCACAGCTGAGGAATTTAGATTCTTATTTTGGGAAGCCATCAAAGGATGTATGTTGGTGTGTGCGATTATGTCATATTTAAATTTTATAGCAGTGGTCCTTAAACTTTTTTGTTCCAGCATCCCTTTACACTCTTAAAAATTAATGAAGACCCTAAATGGCTTTTGTTTATGAAGGCTATATCTATTACTATTTGCCATATTAGAAACTAAAACTGAGAAAATGTTTTTTTGTTTTTTTTGTGTGTGTTTTTTTTTAATCCTCACCCGAGGACATTTTTCCATTTTTTGTTCAGATAGAGTGGGAGGGAGAGAGAGAGAGAGAAACATCGATGTGCAAGGGACACATCGAGTGGCTGCCACCCACACGACCGACCAGGGCCAGGGACAAACTGCAACCGAGGTACGTGCCCTTAGCGGGAACCGAACCCGGGTCTCTCTGGACCGCAGGCCAACGCTCTAACCGCTGAGCCAAACCGGCTAGGGCGAGAAAATGTTTTTTTATCCTCACCCAAGGATATTTTTCTGTTTTTTATTCAGATAGAGCGGGAGGGAGGGGGAGAGAGAGAGAGAGAGAGAGAGACAGAGACAGAGAAACATCGATGTGAAAGGGACACATTGAGTGGCTGCCACCCGCACGACCCAACCAGGGCTGGGGACAAACTGCAACCAAAGTACATACCCTTAGCGGGAACCAAACCCAGGTCTCTCTGGACCGCAGGCCGACGGTCTAACTGCTGAGCCGCACTGGCCAGGGCAAAAATGAGAAAATTTTACTACATAAGTATACACAGGCAGACATTCCATTAGCTATCATTGAGATAATACCACATGTCCTGTAGCCTCTGGAAAATACTACTATACATTTGTGATAATGTATAGTGAAAAAGACAAGTAATGTCATAATATTATGAAAATATTTTTGCTCTTATGGACTTCCGGAAAAGTCCCTAGAGACTTCTGGGGGTTCCTGACCTACTTGGAGAATTTGTGTATCAGCAGATCATTCTGGCAGTGGTGTTGAGAAGTGTTTCGAATCTATAAAAGGAAACTCATTTTAAATTGTAATCCAGTATGCACATGTGTATACATATACAGACTTGAAACACGTTTTAGGATACAATACTGTATTAGTTATCTCTTGTTATGTAAAAAGTCACCTCAAAATTTACTGGATTAAGAAAACAAACATCTCACAGTTTTGATGAAGAGTGTTAGCTGAGTGGTTCTGGCTAAGGTATTTCATGAGGTTGCAGTCAAGATGTCAGCTGAGTCTTCAGTCGGGTTGAAGGATCCCTTTCCAAGCTATGTCACATGGCTGTTGGCCGGAGATCTAAGTTCCTCACTGTGTGGCTTGCTCTGTAAGGTAGCTTGAATATCCTTACAAACATGGTAGCTAGTTTCCCCCAAGCCAGTGGTCCAAGAAAGTAACTAAGACAGAAGGCCCACTGTCTTTTGTGATTTAGGCTTGGAAATGATACATCATCAGAAGTTGATCACTAAGTCTAGTCCACATTCAAAGAGAGAGAAAAATTTTGCGTCCCCTCTTGAAGGAAGTATTGTTACTGGTGAGAAGAGGTCCTTGTACCCACCTGTTGCTAATGAGAGTGGGCTTCTTGTGATATCCGAGAAAAGGAATTTTCAGAGACTCGCCCGGGAGGATGAGATACTGTAGAAAGATTTATTTCTGTGAAATCAAACCCCTAAGTTTCCAAGGTCCCTTTTCCCTCAGTCCCACCATAGAAGTTCCATTTTGTTTTCAGCAGAGCTGAAATCACAGCCAGTGTCCAGAATTTCATGTTGGGACACAATCTAATCCAGCATCAGACTAGCTTAGTTTGTGTTCCTAGTTGTAGTACACTGGTCCGTCACATGTGGACTTCGCATGGCTGGGGGCCGTTCCGGTGAATGCAAGAGAGCTAAGAGTGCAAGCTTCTTTGTCTAGGGGATTATGTATTCCCAAAGTTTCAGGGGCTTGCCTTGGCCCCAATTCTTCTAGCCAATGATTTCTATTCCCAGGTTTGAATGACAAGCACCTTCCCTGTTCACCCCGATTCACTGCGTATGCACCCATCTTCCCATTTGTCCAGTTCCTTCTACCAGTAATCACCGTGGTCCCCTGGGGAGTGCGAAATTACAGCTTCCTGGTAA